GGGACACCCCCACTCACACCCACTGACCCCTCACCACAATTTGGGGACACCCCCCACCCTCCACAGTGACCTTTGACCCCAATTTAGGGACACCCCCCTCCTCACGCCCCAGTGACCTCTGACCCCACTTTAGGGAACCCCTTCACCCCAGTGACCTCTGACCCCAGTTTAGGGACCTCCCTACATACCCCAGTGACCTCTGACCCCAACCTGGGGACAAACCTACCCCTCCCCCCAGTGATCTTTGATCCCTTTGGGGGACCCCAGTGACCTTTGACCCCAGTTTGGGGATACCCCTCCCCCACACAGTGACCTTTGACCTCAATTTGGGGAGATCCCAGTGACCTTTGTCCCCAATTTAGGGACACCCCCACACACACACAGAGTGACCTTTGACCCCAATTTAGGGACCCCTCAAGTGACCTTTGACCCCAATTTAGGGAACCCCTGAGTGACCTTTGACCCCAATTTGGGAGGATCCCAGTGACCTTTGACCCAAATTTCCCCCCCCATGACCTTTGACCCAAATTTGGGGACAGCCCCCACCTTTTCCCCCACCCCCCACCCCCCAAACTCAGGGGTCTCCCTGACCCTCTCCAAATTTAGGGTCCCCACCCCCAATTTTTTGGGGATCCCCTGACCCCCTTCCCCCATCCTCCAAACTGGGCTCCTCCCTCCATTCCCTTTTTCTCCCCATCCCCAAACTCGGGGTCTCCTCGACCCCCTATTTTTGGGAGGTCCCCTTGACCCTACCCCCATTTTTGGGGTCGCCCTGACCCCCTCCCCCCCTTCTCCCCAAAACCTGTGTTCCCCCCAAACCCCAAATTTAGTGCTCTCCGCCAATTTTTGGGGTGTCCCACTTGAACCCCCAACCCATTTTGGGGTCCCCCCTGACCCCCTGACCCCCTTCTCCCCAAACCTGTGTTCCCCGATCCCTTTTCTCCCCAGCTCCCAAACTCAGGGGTCTCCCTGACCCTCCCCAAATTTAATGCTCCCCTGCCCCCCAAATTTTTGGGGGTCTCCTGACCCCCAATTTTTGGGGTCCCCTGACCCCCAATTTTTTGGGGTCTCCCTGCCCCCTTCCTCTCCCCAAACCTGTGTTCCCCCAATCCCCTTTTCTCCCCAGCCCCCAAACTCGGGGTCTCCTGACCCTCCCAAATTTAGTGCTCCACCCCCAAATTTTTGGGGTCTTCTCCTGACCCCCAATTTTTTGGGGTGTCCTCTGACCCCCCCTATTTTTGGGGTCCCCCAGGCCCCACCACGGCCATGTCCGAGGCCACCCAGACCATCGTGGGGGCCGCCAAGACCCTGGGGTGCCCAAAATCGTCGCGTGCCTCTCAGGTGGGTCCTTCCCCTCCCCAAAATTAACCCCCCACTTCCCAGACCCCTCCCCACCCCCTGGGTGGTGACGCCCCTCCCCGCAGCGTTCCTGCTGTGGGACTCCCAGAAGGTGCCCCCGGCTGCGGGACGTGACGGCCGACCACGAGCGGATGGAGCGGGCGCTGCGGGCGGGGGCGTCACCTGCGTGCTTGTGATGCCCCACACATCGCTGGTACGGGGAGGTCAGAAATTTGGGGGAGTCGAAATTCGGGGAAAAATTGGGGAGGGGGAGGAAAATTTGGGGGGAATGGGGGAAAATGGGGGTCACCTACGTAGCTTGGATGCCCCCACATCGCAGGTACGGGGGGCAGAAAATTGGGGGAGGGCAGAAAATTGGGGGAAAATTTGGGGAGGGGGAGGAAAATTTGGGGGAATGGGAGGATAAAATGGGGGAAAAATGGGGGATAAAATGGGGGAGGGAGGTGGGAATTGGGGCGCCACCTGCGAGTTAGTGATGCCCCCACATCGCAGGTACGGGGGCAGAAAATTGGGGGGAAAATTTGGGGAGGGGGCAGAAAAAATTTGGGGAGGGGGGAGAAAATTTGGGGAGGGGGGAGGAAAAATTTGGGGGTAATGGGGGAAAATGGGGGCGTCACCTGCGTAGTTCGTGATGCCCCCAAACATGCAGGTACGGGGTGGGGGGCAGAAAATTGGGGGGAGCCAAAATTGGGGGGAGGGCAGAAAATTGGGGGAAAATTTGGGATGGGGGAGAAAAATTTGGGGAGGGGGAGGAAAATTTGGGGAGGGGGAGGAAAATTTGGGGGAAATGGGGATAAAATGGGGGAGGGACAGAAATTGGAAGGGGGGAGCAGAAAATTGGGGGAGAAAATTTGGGGAGGGGGAGAAAATTTGGGGGAACGGGGGAAAAATGGGGGTCACCATGCAGCCAGTGATGCCCCACACATCGCAGGTACGGGGGAACCAAAAATTGGGGGAGGGCAGAAAATTGGGGGAAAAAATTTGGGAGGGGGCAGAAAAAAATTTGAGGAGGGGGAGAAAAAATTTGGGGGAATGGGAGATAAATGGGGGTCACCTGCGTGTTTGTGATGCCCCACACATCGCAGGTACTGGCGGGATCCCACCCCACCCCATCCCATCCATCCCATCCCATCCCATCCCACCCCATCCCACCCCACCCCATCCCACCCCATCCCATCCTATCCCACTCCCATCCCACCCCACCCCATCCCACCCCATCCCATCCCATCCCATTTTCCCTGGCAGTGGACCATCCCCTGACGGGGGATTACGAGGTGTGGCTGGGTCCCTGATTATCCCATCCCATCCCATCCCATCCCATCCCATCCCATCCCATTTTTCCCCAGTGGATCATCCCTTGACAGGGGATTACGAGGTGTGGCTGGGTCCCTGACCCTGATTATCCCATCCCATCCCATCCCATTTTCCCTGGCAGTTGATCATCCCCTGACGGGGGATTACGAGGTGTGGCTGGGTCCCTGACCCTGATCCCATCCCACCCCATCCCATCCCATCCCATTTTTCCCTGGCAGTGGACCATCCCCTGACGGGGGATTACGAGGTGTGGCTGGGTCCCTGACCCTGATCCCATCCCATTTTCCCTGGCAGTGGATCATCCCCTGACAGGGGATTACGAGGTGTGGCTGGGTCCCTGATTATCCCATCCCATCCCATCCCATCATCCTATCCCATCCCACCCCATCCCATCCCATCCCATTTTCCCTGGCAGTGGACCATCCCCTGACGGGGGATTACGAGGTGTGGCTGGGTCCCTGACCCTGATCCCATCCCATTTTTCCCCAGTGGATCATCCCTGACAGGATTACACGTGGCTGAGTCCCTGATCATCCCATCCGATCCGGGGCCATCCTATCCGACCGATCCCATCCCATCCCATCCCATCCATCCCATCCCATCCATCCCATCCCATTTTTCCCTGGCAGTGGATCATCCCCTGACAGGGGATTACGAGGTGTGGCTGGGTCCCTGATTATCCCATCCCATCCCATCCCCTTTTCCCCAGTGGACCATCCCCTGACGGGGATTACGAGGTGTGGCTGGGTCCCTGATTATCCAGTCCCATCCCATCCCATTTTTCCCAAACAGTTGACCATCCCCTGACGGGGGATTACGAGGTGTGGCTGGGTCCCTGACCCATCCCATCTCATCCCATCCCATTTTCCCTGGCAGTGGATCATCCCCTGACAGGGGATTACGAGGTGTGGCTGGGTCCCTGACCCTGATCCCATCCCATCTCATCCCATCCCATTTTTCCCTGGCAGTGGATCATCCCCTGACGGGGGATTACGAGGTGTGGCTGGGTCCCTGATTATCCAGTCCCATCCCATCCCATCCCATCCCATTTTCCCTGGCAGTGGATCATCCCTTGACGGGGGATTACGAGGTGTGGCTGGGTCCCTGACCCTGATCCCATCCCATCTCATCCCATCCCATTTTTCCCCAGTTGACCATCCTCTGACGGGGGATTACGAGGTGTGGCTGGGCCGTGCCGGCGGTCCCGGCTCATCCCGAGTCATTTCCGCCCGGGATTTGGGCCATTTCATGCTCCGCTGCCTCCACACCCCCGACTTCGACGGCCACAGCGTCTACCTGTGCCGGGATTACTCCAAGGATTAGGGATTCCTGGGAATTGGGGGAGCCCTTGGGGTACCTGTGCCGGGATTACTCCAAGGATTAGGGATTCCAGGGAATTGGGGGACCCATTGGGGTACCTGTGCCGGGATTACTCCAAGGATTAGGGATTATCCCAGGATTAGGGATTCCCAGGGATCCAAGGAGCCCTCGGGGTCCTCCTGTCCCATGGGGTTATCCCAAAGTACTGGAATTATCCCAAAGATTGGGGGATCCCTCAGGATCCCTCCTGTCCCATGGGGTTATCCCAAAGTGCTGGAATTATCCCAAAGATTGGGGATCCCTTGAGGTCCCTCCTGTCCCATGGGGTTATCCCAAAGTGCTGGGGTTATCCCAAAGATTGGGATAATCCCAGCCTGTGGATCCCAAGGGATCCTCCAAAGATTGGGGGATCCCTCAGGATCCCTCCTGTCCCATGGGGTTATCCCAAAGTGCTGGGGTTATCCCAAAGATTGGGGGATCCCTCAGGATCCCTCCTGTCCCAGGGGGTTATCCCAGATGGGGATCCTCAGGATCCCTCCTGTCCCAGGGGGTTATCCCAAAGATTGGGGGATCCCTCAGGATCCCTCCTGTCCCATGGGGTTATCCCAAAGATTGGAGGATCCCTTGGGGTCCTCCTGTCCCATGGGGTTATCCCAAAGATTGGGGGATCCCTTGGGATCCTCCTGTCCCATGGGGTTATCCCAAGGTGGGGATCCTTGGTCCTCCTGTCCCATGGGGTTATCCCGAAGATTGGAGGATCCCTTGGGGTCCTCCTGTCCCATGGGGTTATCCCAAAGTGCTGGGGTTATCCCAAAGATTGGGATAATCCCAGCCTGTGGATCCCAAGGGATCCTCCAAAGATTGGGGGATCCCTCAGGATCCCTCCTGTCCCATGGGGTTATCCCAAAGTGCTGGAATTATCCCAGGGATCCAGGGAGCCCTTGGGGTCCTCCTGTCCCATGGGGTTATCCCAAAGATTGGAGGATCCCTTGGGATCCACGGGCTGGGATTATCCCAAGGATTGGGGGATCCCTTGGGATCCTCCTGTCTGATGGGATTATCCCAAGGATTGGAGGATCCCTCGGGGTCCTCCTGTCCCATGGGGTTATCCCAAAGTGCTGGAATTATCCCAAAGATTGGGGGATCCCTTGGGATCCACAGGCTGGGATTATCCCAAAGATTGGGGGATCCCTTGGGGTCCTCCTGTCCCATGGGGTTATCCCAAAGATTGGGGGATCCCTTGGGGTCCTCCTGTCCCATGGGGTTATCCCAAAGATTGGGGGATCCCTCAGGATCCCTCCTGTCCCATGGGGTTATCCCAAAGATTGGGGATCCCTTGGGGTCCTCCTGTCCCATGGGGTTATCCCAAGGATTGGGGGATCCCTTGGGGTCCTCCTGTCCCATGGGGTTATCCCAAAGATTGGGGGATCCCTCAGGATTGGGGTCCTCCTGTCCCATGGGGTTATCCCAAAGATTGGGGGATCCCTCAGGATCCCTCCTGTCCCATGGGGTTATCCCAAAGATTGGGGGATCCCTTGGGGTCCTCCTGTCCCATGGGGTTATCCCAAAGATTGGGGATCCCTTGGGATCCCTCCTGTCCCATGGGGTTATCCCAAAGTGCTGGAATTGGAGGAATCCCTCCTGTCCCATGGGGTTATCCCAAAGATTGGGGGATCCCTTGGGGTCCTCCTGTCCCATGGGGTTATCCCAATGTGCTGGAATTATCCCAAAGATTGGGGATCCCTCAGGATCCCTCCTGTCCCATGGGGTTATCCCGAAGATTGGGGGATCCCTCAGGATCCCTCCTGTCCCAGGGGGTTATCCCAAAGATTGGGGGATCCCTTGGGATCCTCCTGTCCCATGGGGTTATCCCAAAGATTGGGGGATTCCTTGGGGTCCTCCTGTCCCATGGGGTTATCCCATGGGGTTATCCCAAAGATTGGGGGATCCCTCAGGATTGGGGTCCTCCTGTCCCATGGGGTTATCCCATGGGGTTATCCCAAAGATCCAGGGAGCCCTTGGGGTCCCTCCTGGCTGCTGGGATTATCCTAAGGATTGGGAATCTCTTGGGATCCACTGGTTGGGATTATCCCAGGAATTCTGGGACCCCTCAGGACTGGGATCTGTTGGGATTATCCCAGGATTTGGGGTCCCAGGGACAATAAACCAATCTGTGTTTTTTCCCAACCTGCCTCCCATTCCCGGGGGTCCAAATCTGGCTTGGGGGGAGTTTGGGGGGGGGTTTCACGGGGGTCTCAGCCCCCTCTGTCCCCTCGTGGGGGTCCCGTGTCCCCCTGGGGGGGGGTCCCGTGTCCCCTCTGGGGGTGTCTCAGCCCCCCCTGTATCCCTCGTGGGTTTCGTGGGGGGGGTCTCAGCCCCTTCTGTCCCCCGTGGGGGTCCCGTGTCCCCTTTAGGGGTGGTCTCAGCCCCCTCTGTCCCCTCGGGGGGGGTCTCAGCCCCCTCAGACCCCTCCGTGTCCCCTGGGGGGGGGGTTCCGTGTCCCCTCTGGGGGCTTCTCAGCCCCCTCTGTCCCCCGTGGGGGTCCCGTGTCCCCTCAGGGGGGTCCCAGCCCCCCCCTCTGTCCCCCGTGGGGGTCCTGGCCCCCCCTCTGTCCCCCGTGGGGGTCTCAGCCCCCTCAATCCCCTCAGGGGGGTCCCGGCCCCCCCCTCTGTCCCCCGTGGGGGTCTCAGCCCCCTGTGTCCCCCGTGGGGGTCCCGTGTCCCCTTTGGGGGGGTCTCAGCCCCCTCTGTCCCCCGTGGGGGTCTCGGGGGTTCTCAGCCCCCTCTGTCCCCTCATGGGGGTCCCGGCCCCCCCTCTGTCCCCCCGTGGTGGTCTCAGGGGTCTCAGCCCCTCTGTCCCCTCAGGGGGTCCCGTGTCCCCTCTGGAGGTCTCAGCCCCTCTGTCCCCGTGAGGTCTCAGCCCCTCTGTCCCCTCTGGGGCTTCTCAGCCTCTGTCCCCCGTGGAGGTCTCAGCCCCCTCTGTCCCTCTGGGGGCTTCTCAGCCCCTCTGTCCCCTCATGGGGGTCCCGGCCCCCCCCTCTGTCCCCCGTGGTGGTCTCGGGGGGGTCTCAGCCCCCTCTGTCCCCTCGTGAGGTCCCAGCCCCCTCTGTCCCCTCATGGGGGTCCCGTGTCGCCTTTGGGGAGGTCTCAGCCCCCTCTGTCCCCCGTGGGGGTCCCAGACCCCTCCTCTGTCCCCTCAGGGGGGTCCCGTGTCCCCTTTGGGGGGGGGTCTCAGCCCCTCTGTCCCCCGTGGGGTCCCAGCCCCCCTCTGTCCCCTCAGGGGTCCTAGCCCCCTGTCCCCCGTGGGGGTCTCAGCCCCCTCTGTCCCCTCAGGGGGGTCCCGTGTCCCCTCTGGGGGGGGTCTCAGCCCCCTCTGTCCCCTCAGGGGGGTCCCGTGTCCCCTTTGGGGGTTCTCCAGCCCCTCTGTCCCCTCAGGGGGTCCCGTGTCCCCTTTGGGGGTCTCAGCCCTCTGTCCCCGTGGGGTCTCAGCCCTCTGTCCCCTCAGGGGTCCCGTGTCCCCTCAGGGGTCTCAGCCCTCTCTGTCCCCGATGGGGTCCCGGCCCCCTCTGTCCCCTCAGGGTCCAGCCCCCTCTGTCCCCGTGGGGTCTCAGAGGTCCCCTTTGGGATTGGGGGAGGGGCCGGGGCCTGAGGATGGGGGCGGGGTTTGTTCGGCCCTGCCCTCCCCGCGCGCGCAGCGTGGCCTGCCCCCGCCCGCGCACGCGCAGCGAGCCCGCCCCGCCCCTCCCGCTCCCGCCGCGACCGCAGCCCCGCCGAGGGAGGTGAGAAATGGAGGGGTCCTGAGAAATAGGGGTCCTGAGGGGTAAAGGGGGTCCTGAGGGAAGGAGCTCTGAGGGGGTCCTGGGATGGAGGGGGCTGTGCCGAGGTCCTGGTGCTGCCCAGCCCCTCTGAGGAGGTGAGAAATGAGGGGGTCCTGGGGAAAAGGGGGGTCCTGAGGTAAATGGGGGTCCTGAGGGGAAAGGGGAGTCTGAGGGTCCTGAGGGAAAGGGGGTCCTGAGGAAAGGGGGTCTCTGAGGGGAAAAGGGGGTCCTGGGATGGAGGGGGCTGTACCGAGGGGTCCTGGTGCTGCACGGCCCTGCCGAGGGGGAGGTGAGAAATGAGGGGGTCCTGAGGGGAAGAGGGTCCTGAGGGGGAAAGAGGGGTCCTGAGGGGAAAGGGGGTCCCTGAGGGAAGGGGTCCTGAGGAAATGGGGGGCCTGAGGGTCCCTGAGAAATAGGGGTCCTGAGGGTCTGAGGAGGAGTCCTGAGGGAAAGGAGGTCCCTGAGGAAGAGGGGGTCTGAGGGGAAATGGGGGGTCTCTGAGGGAAAGGGGGTCCCTGAGGGAAAGGGAGGGTCCTGAGGGAAAATGGGGGTCTCTGAAGGGAAAGGGGGTCCTGGGACGGAGGGGGCTGTACCGAGGGTCCTGGTGCTGCCGCAGCCTCCGAGGCGGGAGGTGAGAAATGGGGGTCCTGAGGGGAAAGGGGGTCCTGGGAGGGTCTCTGAGGGGTAAAGGGGTCCTGAGAATGAGGGGGCTGTACGGAGGGGTCCTGGTGCTGCCGCGGCCCTCCGAGGGGGTGAGAAATGGGGAGAGGGGTGTCCCTGAGGAGAGGGGGCCCTGAGGGGTCTCTGTGCCGAGGGGGTCTGAGGGGTCCCTGTGCTCAGGAAGGGGGTCCCTGTGCCGAGAGGGGGTCCCTGTGGGGGGGCTGAACTGAGGGGTCCCTGAACCAGGGGGTGGTCCCTGCAGGGACTGGGCTGAGGAGGGGTCTCTGAGAGGGTCCCTGTGCCGAGAGAGGGTCCTTGTGCTGAGGAGGGGTCTCCGAGAGGGTCCCTGTGCCGAGAGAGGGTCCCTGTGCTGAGGAGGGGTCTCTGAGAGGGTCCCTGTGCCGAGGGAGGGTCCCTGATGAGTCCCTGTGCTGAGGGAGGGGGTCCCTGAGTGTGGGGGGTTTTCTTAGGGACCCCCTGAGTGCTCCCCGTGCCAAGGTGGGGGTGCCCTGAAGGACCCTCTGAGTGGTGCCTGAGTGGGTGGGGATGCTCTGAGGGACCCTTTTGGTGGTCCCTGAGTGGGTGGGGCTGTTCTGAGGGGTCCCTGAGTGGTCCCTGAGTGGGTGGGGATTCTCTGAGGGGTCCCTGAGTGGGTGGGGCTGTTCCGAGGGGTCCCTGAGTGGGTGGGGATGTTCTGAGGGGTCTCTGAGTGGTCCCTGAGTGGGTGGGGATGCTCTGAGTGGTCTCTGAGTGGTCCCTGAATGGGTGGGGATGCTCTGAGGGGTCCCTGAGTGGGAGGGGCTGTTCTGAGGGGTCCCTGAGTGGGTGGGGCTGTTCTGAGTGGTCCCTGAGTGGGTGGGGATGCTCTGAGGGGTCTCTGAGTGCTCCCTGAGTGGGTGGGGATGCTCTGAGTGGTCCCTGAGTGGGTGGGGCTGTTCTGAGGGGTCTCTGAGTGGTCCCTGAGTGGGTGGGGATGCTCTGAGTGGTCTCTGAGTGGTCCTTGAGTGGGTTGGGATGTTCTGAGGG